GAAAGAGGAAGGAAGGCAGGGATAGACTCTATGTAGCTAAGGGGTGGGAGGCGATCTCCAGTTCTGGAAAGAGTTTTAGCTTTGCTCTCATTGCTCCATGAGGAGCCTTCTTCAAGGGCAGACTCACGCCAAGCCCCCAAATTGCACAGTCCCTTGAAGGCAGGCAGCCATTCTTGTCTTCACACTGGTACAAAGACCCTGAGATTCCAGCCAGGTGGACAACCCAGATGGCTGGCAGGCGGTCTGAAGCCATCTCCATGGCTGGCTTGACAGGTCCACCTTCGTTGTTGGCAAATGGGCTTGCTTCTACCAAGTGAGGCTCTAGCCATCTGTAACCGGGTCTATCTATTGATAACCCAAAACACATCGAAAGCAGTCTGGGCTTCGCAAATGCGGTCAAAGGGTAACTTTCTCATCACGGAGCTTCATTTCGGGTGATTTATTACTTTGGCTGATTTGGGCATACTTCAGCATCTATAAATAATCACGTGAGCACCAAGCAGGATGTTAATTATTTGATGCAGTGATTTAGAAATAATCCATTATTGAGCATTCTCTTAAATTGCCTCTGGCGCCCTGTTAGCGCCCTTCCAGGAATGGAGTGAAGTTGTGGTGGCGCAGAGAGTCAGTGTGGTGTGGTCCAGCCCTGTGGACTCCAGTGTAGCTTACCACCAGTCGGCTCTGTAGAATGCCCTGAGGGAGGTGAGCCCTTGCTGGCCCCTTGCCTGTGGACCTTAGTAGCCCTCCTCCATGGCTGATGCTTGCCACTGAAGGAAACTCCTTAAGACTGGAGAAAGAGCTATCCATGACCCCTTTAGACCACATTTTTGGCTATCAGACGATGTTCAGAGGTCTGAACAATAACGAACATTATAGCAAACATCATTTTCTCCAACAACAATATAAATAACTCCAAGACTCACAGGGATATTTGAGATTAAAAGTCAAAATAAATTTATAGAAAAGATTTGTTTTGCTGATCACCCTTTGAAATCCATTAGAAAGTCTGTCCTTTATTCAAAAAGTACAGACTTGGAATGAGAGAAACAAATCCCAAAAGTCAAGTGAATAAGTTCAATTGAATGTCTGCATCTGGTCTTTCATTTCCTTCTCCTGGCAGACACCTAAGTCTCTGACCTGTGTGGTAACCGCCGCCAGAGGCTCCAGATAAGCAAGCCATGCAGTAATCCAGGGCGGTTTCTATCTATTAACTATTTCTCCCAGTACGAAAGGACAAGAGAAATGAGGCCTACCCACACAGAATTTTTCCCATTATCGAGAGGATTCTGAGAAAGAGTAGTATCTAATGGAGAAAGCACTTTGGAGTAAAGTTTGGGCTTTTTACAATGATATGCTTCCCCCAAAGTTTCATTTGCAAGGGAAACACATCACCATTTTCCCCAAAGGGCATCAAACTTTTCAGAACTAAGAATTTGACTTTTACATACACCTTGGGTAAGCACTCCCAAGAGGACTTACAATAATGAAATTCAATGGGGGGAAAAAGTGTGACTTTATTTTGTGTTTATGATAACTCCAAGTCTCATATATATATATATATCCGCCCCACACACTAACTATACTGAAATCAACATGAGAAAATTTCAGAATAAATGGATTTCTCAAGAATTTCGACCACGACAAATCAAGGACTTACATTAGCATTTCTTAGCACCAAATCTTATAAGCAATTATGCGTCAGTGTCACTAAGTAGCCTGAATTCCTGTACTAACCCGGTGCATTTATTATCTTGACTTTTATTAATTCTAATTTTTGCAGAACATAATTCCTTTCCCCCTGGAGGCTAAGCTTATTTACAGAAGAAACCATGCATAGCATTAGCCATAACTGTCAGCGTTACCCTAGGATGTCAGAATGGACACCACTGATTCCCAGGGTCCCGATTTTAAAACAGCTTTGTTTGGTTGTTGGTTGGTTTCAAACACAACTCAGGCTAGCATCAACTCACTGCAGAGCTCAGAATGACCTTGAACTTTTGACCCTCCCGCCTTGTGCTTAGGCTTGGTTTTATGCAATACTAGGGGCTGGAGCACAATAGGGAAGTATTTTACCAATTGAACAACATCCCTAGCCCCTGATTTTAGCTTTTGATTTTAAGTCCACTGCAAAAACTAAAAAAGAAAGAAACCTAACCCATAATACTATCAAGTATAACAGCAATTGCGACAGGCCTCACAAGAGGTGGACAGTTTGAACTGCTGTGTGTACCGTCAAAGCCATTTGTAAATCCAATGTGCCTTCTGAGTGAAATGAATGGCTTCTGTCAATTTAGCATTTGCAAGAAAGTGACTGAATGAAAAGGCTTCCTGAAGAGTTTAACCTGGGAGAGCAGAGCCCTTCCCACCGACCTCCACACACCCAGAGTGGTGAAACGGGCCAGGGCGAGGTGCTTGCTGGAGAGCCCAGCGCTAGACAAGAGTTCTCCTGACAGGGGGCGGATCATGTTGGAAGTCAGTGGTGTTCCTCAGCAGACCTGACTGTAAATGACCCTGCCTGGTGGGGCCCGGCAGCGTCATAAATCAAACAACAGCAATTCTGCCACCAGAGAGAGAAAGAACCCTACTGGGTCAGTGTCTCATGCCCAAGTGGCAGATGATAACCCTGGGAAAGGAGGGGAAAGAGTCACCTATCTAAATGCCCCTCTGGTCGAGAGGCCCAGGCAAAAAGATAACGGGATGAGCTTCTCGATGGGTTCCATGGAGCAAGCTCCCCTATGAGCTGCTGCCTCCAGTCCACAGAGGGAAAGCACAGGAATACACAAGTGGCATTTGGAAGGAGCGACCTGGAAGAATGTTTCTCATACCCGTGAAGCCTGGCGAAGCCTTATGCGATGTCCACCTGTTTCTTTATTTTGCTTCTCTATTAACTGGCTCTTACTGTATTTTCTGGAGTATTGATCAGCAATGGATTGCAGGGCTTGGAGCAGGTAGGTGAGAGGTGCCCAGTACACCCAGAATCAAGGTCTGCATGAACAATTTCTACATTATGCTTGCAAAGATACTCATTTACCTACTGTCGTCTCTTAAATTAGTTGAATATTAAGGTTTCCAGAAGTAGGTAATTTTGCCCATGTGTAATATATTAAGCTCCCTTGATTAACATCTGAATTAATCTAGAAATATTTGAATTGAGGACCAATGAGATACCAAATAATCAAAACTGTTCTGAGGAACAGAAATATTAATTAACATTTCCTTTGGAAAGGAGGAGCTCTGGGGTCCAGAGTTTGGGATCGTTCACCCCATCCCACAAACCGTCCCCCTTCAAGGAGGCAGAGCAGTCAACAGGGATTCTGGAAAGGTCAGTAACATAAAGGTACTTAATCACGCAACTCTCTAGATGACAAGAAAAAGCAGTCCAGAGTAGAGCTTTGCTAGCTGCCTCCCTTCTTCAATAACCACAAATGGATCCGACCCCACCCAACCTGCTATAAAGAAAGACGGGGCCAAATGGAATGAATATGTGAAACCATAGCAGTAAGCTGTTCCAGGGGTGGGAAGACGCTCCCTTCATGCAGTAGCATTTTACTTGTATTTTAATAAATAAATGAATAAACTTGCCTGAGGATAGAAAAGTAAAACAGCCACCCTGGGTAGCCTTATAGACCAGGCAGCAATAACACACACCTTTAATCCCAATTAAATTGCCACACCAGCATGCCATAGCAACCAGACAGCAATGGTGCACGCCTTTAATCCCAGCCCTAGAGAGGATTATAAAACAGGAGGAGACAGCTCTTGGTCCATCCCATTCTGAGATTCTTGGAAGCGGGATCACCATTTCAGACTGAGGTAAAGGTAAGAGCCAGTGACTGGCTATTTTGCTTTCTGACCTTCAGGTTGAACCACCCAATTTCTCCCTCTAAATATTTATTAATAGTGCTTTACCGTTGCTGTGCCCCCCTCACTCTACCCTACCCTCCCACCACCATCTACAACCACTGAGGGTTGCGGACTAGCTTCCGGCCTCAGTTCTCTACTTCCTGGTTAGTCATAAGGTGAACAAGTTAAGCTGCAAGCTCCTACTGTCACAGACTTAACCCCAGAGCCATGCCCTCCCTTTCCCCACAAGCATGAACCCCAAGTCCCCTTCCCTCAAGCTGCTCTTCTCCATTCTCTTGCAACAAGTAACTAATATGGGAACATCCCCCCCCAGACTCCACACACTCAGGATGGATGATAATTCTTAACAGTCACATGTTTACTAGGCCACCTTCTGGAACACTCTGGTAGGTATAATTCTTCCTTGTCCATGCAGGCTGGACCCAGAACAGAGCCAAGAAGAAACCCTTCACTGGGCAGAAGCTGCAGCAAGGGTTGACTCCTGTCGACTTGGCCTCCACCTCTGCTTAGATATTCTCTAAGAACCACAGTAGTGCAGGACTTTGGTGTTGAGTTCCCATGACGACAGGCAGTTGCCCCCCCCCCACCACCACCACCAAACAACTTGCGGTCTGCTCCCTCGGTACTCCTAAAGTACTCAGGATGACCCATCGAGCTGGGTCAATATCGCATTGATCTTAGTGGGCGAACAATCTAAACATAAGTGGTATATCACAGCCTGAAGAGAGAACGCTCTGGGAAGAAAAAATTCATGTCAGGGCTTAACAGTACCTCTCCCCCACCCAGCGGCAAATCCCAGCTCCCATCCAACATCTGGCTCTCCAGCTAAACAATCAATAATAATACACTTTCTCTTCACTCCTAATGTCAGCCTCCCCAGGCTCCTCTGTTTACTTCAGAGGCGGCCTTCGGAAACTCACACCGCTTCTGCAAGGTCGTGTGGCCAGTGAAATGTAGGACAGGGAATCGGCTTCTCTTCCAACCACCAAACCACAAGGTCTTTGTTAAGGTCAAAATTATCATGAAACATTATTTACATAGCACACAAGAAACGCAGCTTGGCAGCTGTTATACACACGAGCTGCTGCGTGCAATAGCACCAAATAAAAAGATAAGGAGTCCTGCAATTTACTTACTGTTCACATAAACGTTAAATGTCACGGAAGCGCTGACATCAGAGTTGGCCACCAGGAAGGTATAAGTGCCTCCTTCTGTGCCTTTTAATCTGGTCAGATGAAGTTCGCTGGCGTACCTGCAAAGGAAGGACAATCAATCAGCCCCCTGTGGACAGTCTGTCCTAAAATACAAGTCTCTGGTGCTGTTTCTACTTGGAAAGAGATGCCTATTGGGGGAAAAATATCAATGAATCATTGGATTCACACTGACATGCACATCACTGCTTTTGGGACAAAAACCTGTGTGTGAAGACACAGTAATAGGCTAGCCAAGCCTTTGCCTACCTGCCCTGGGGTACCCTCCTGACCACTTCCTATTCTGCACACTGTAGAGTACCTTGAACTCTTGTCCTAGCTCAATAGCCTGCACACACCCTCTATCTTCATATCAATTCCTCAGGCCCTTGGGATCCACATAATCACGACCTCCTCCACCCATTTTCACCCTGCCTTGCTTCTGTCAATAACAAACGCTATGTTCCTTTGACTCCCAGGGTTGCCGGCAATATTTGTTATTCAAGTGTCTGCTCTACTCAGGGACCTACAAGATGGCTGTGAAGATGGGACACTGTATAACCCATGAGCTAGTGTGAGCTCTAGATGGACGGATCAGCTGTGCAAGACCATGGCCAGCTACCCTGCTCGGTGCCCTTGCTCTATCTTTCCACCACTCAGTAGACAAACTGCCACTAGATCAAACTTCCTAATCTCAACCTCGTGTGTAGGTGCCCCTCTCTGCCCTGTGCCTCTCTCCGGGCCTATTTCCATGCCCCCTTGGACCACTGTTATGGGATGCAGTTCAGCACACCTCACATCTGTACCCTTCACCCAAGGGTCCCTTTGAACAGCCAGGTACAGCAGCTCAGTGCAGAGTTCCCTAAGGTCCTTACTCAGCAGCTTTCCTGTTCCCTCAGCTTTCCCTCTGCAGAAATCCCCCGTGCCACTGAACTCCTGTCTCAGGCTCAGCTTCTAGGGAACTGGGCCTGTGGCAATTCCTTTTTAAACAAAGGCATGCAAGGTCCCAATGTAAGTGCCCCTCACCTCAGCCAGGCCTCTCCTACTGGGCAGGCACCAACTGGGCCACTCCTTCCCCAACTCCCCTCCTGCTTGGTACTCCCCAACTCCACCCTCTTCAGCCCAACCATCAAGAGTCCAGGCTAGTCTATCCATTCTCACTTGTGTTCACCCAACAGGCAGCAGCTCTGGGAGTGAAAGAACAAACCCCACCCAGTTACCAGCCCCTTCTTAGTCATTTGATCATGGTCACCTCGGTTCACCCTTCTGGGCTTTGGTCTCCTCGTGCACAAAAATGGGGGATTAAGAGTGCTCCGGAGCCAGTGAGAAGAGTGGGTGAAGACGCATCCAACACGAGCACCTGAGTTTGATCCCGGGAACGCATGGAAAAGGCAGAAGGCGAGAACTGACTCCTAAGGGCCTGTGAGCTTCAGGCGTGCTGTGGGACGCTCTAGGGATGCACCATGCCGCTCGCTGTGTCGTTACACAGCCACACAATAACAAACTCCATTTTAGAAAAAAATTAAGTGTCCTTCTAAGATTTATGCTGAGACAGGTCAGGCAAAAATGACAGAAACAAATGAAAGCACACAAGGTATCGTTACTGCTACTATTGGAACTATAATGTTTCAAAGATCTAATAAGAGATCTGATAGCAAAGAAAAGCAATTGATCACCTGGCCCAAAGCTTAATAATTCATAGTTATCAATAGTTACCCTCAGAGTTCTAATAAAGTAGTGACTATTCTATCTTCCCTTTCTTCCTAAGGAGAATTCTTGTGTCCTGAAGATGTGACAGTCATTGCTTTGGGTGACCCTTAGAAACTAAGAGAAACGTAACCCCCACTTTCCAAACGAGAAACTGAGTCGGCATGCATACAGCTGTGTGCAGTGAACATTCTAACCCACGCCAACATGGAATCCTCAGGCTGAGGACACGGGTAGCTCTAATCTGATATCTCTCCACGCGTGGCCGGGTCACCAGGACCTGGGAAGGCAGCCGGGAGAGAAGGGCTCGAGTCCCTTTCTTACCTGATGTTACTTCTATTATCAGACTTGAGATAATCTTCCCACTTGTTAGGGGAGGTCCTGTTCATATATATCCATTGCTGATGTTCAGGTTTGGGGTAGGCCTCATATTCAACCACCAAATCCACATTTTCTCCGTCGTTTACAAATACCGTAGTATTCTTCACGGGGAAGATGTTGATGAATCCTTTATCTGATTGTGACAGAATAAGACAGCCATCAGTATTCACAACTGACAAGGAACACACGCCACCTTAGGATTACAAAAGTGATGACTCCCAGTGTTGATGAGCAGCCAGGGAGAAGATGTGAGCCCGCCTCTGCCCTCCTCCTGCTCTTCACTCCGTCCTTGGGTGAGAAGAGGCACACACCCAAGTCCCCGCCTTGTATCTTACATCACTAGCAATTCCCTAAAAGGTCCTCTCCAGCCACTGTCTCCACACTTGGGAGGTTCAAGGCCTAGGGTGTTTTACTAAAATAGCCCCCATCTAGACCCGGAACAATTACAAACGTAGCAAGAAAGTACCACCACCGAGTGAAGACTAGTCCAAGCTCTAATGTGTGATGAAAACATCATTGTGTATCTGAAGAGAAGGATCCGGCCATCAGTCAGACAGCGTTTTAACACGAAAACCGGACTCTTGCTTCTTATGGGGGAATAGTGGTGGGTGACTTTGGAAGCAACTAAAGGAGAATATCGTGAAGGGCAAATTTGAATTAAGGAAAGAGGACATTAAACTACAGCTATGGGGGGAAGAATGTTTAGCTAAACTGGTAATTAAAATATGGAGAGCACTTTCCATTTATTAAAAATAGCAAAACTAATTTAAAATAAACCCAAGAATCTCAAGTGTGTTCAAAGAAGCGCAGAGAACCACACACGACAAACTGGCACGCTTCTTCTCAGAACCCGTGAGCGATCAAGATTTTCTTTTTTTAAATTATCTATTTTTAAGTCTAAATCCTATAATTTCCATTTGAGGACTCTTCTTAAAATGGGTTAGAGATGCATGAAGTGCTATTTGTACAGGTTACGATAACTCTTGAAATGACAGAACGTTGGTGAAGTAAATAATGCAGCCTTCGAAATGGCCACATAACAATCCAAGAGCCAGTCTGAAAAGGAGCAATAAACTAATTGCCCAGTTTTATTTTTTATAGCCACCATTTAGGGGATGCTCACTATGTGCCAAGAACTGCCCCAGGCACTTTAGCACACATTTTATTTAATAATTATGACATTATGTCATTCTGGAACATAGAGCTGCAGCCTCTAATTTATAGATGAAAAGCAGGTTATGGGTTTTCTCTGCATGTATGTATGTTGTGTTTGGTGTCTGGGGGTATGGTACATGCACATAAATAGCAGAAATGCCTGTCAGGCTAGAGCAGCACGCCAGGTGCCTCCCTCACCACGGGCCAATCTGATGCCTTCAGACAAGGTCCCCCACTCTGTCAGAGACCCACCATTTCAGTGAGACTGGCTGGCAGGGGAGCTCTCGGGACTTGCCCATCTCTGTCCCCCCGTAGGGGGCTACAGTCATGCAAGCCGTGTTTGGTTGTTTTTATGTAGGTGCTGAGGATTTGAATTCTACTTCCTGAGGTTTGCAGACCGAGTGCTTTTATCCACTAAGTCATCTCCCCAGCTCCAGGTTAGCGATGGAGAGATAACTCTAATTTACAGGTAATGCTTGTTATCTCTAATTTAGAGGTGAAATTGATGATTTATATTTGGATCCAAAAACATAAAGCAAAGTCTAGCTTCGAACACAGGTCTAAGAGAAGCCAAGAATGGCCTCTTTTTTTAGAGTCTCTATACATGTTAAATGAGAGAGAATAAGAACATGAATAAAACTGTATGTATAATGAATAATGAAAACCCATATACAAAAATAAGCAAAATACTCAAATCTTTAAAATCAGCTACATCAAGTTAAAGTTTAAATTTTATTCTATTTCATTTTCAAATGCTTAAAATTAATTGTAAACTTTCACTTACTTTGCATTATCTGCATATATACAAGAGACTGTCACTGCAGTTGGGGTTTTTTTCCCCCTTTTTTGGCTTTTTGAGAGTCATTACAGTTTTTAATGCTCTCTGGTTGTCTATAGGTTCAGAGTCAAAAACTGGTTTGTTCCAGTGTCCTCTGGCTACTGAACCAATTCAAAAAGGATTGTTTTCAGGGTGGAATGAAAAAAAAATCTTCCAAAATAAAAAAACTGGAGTTGGAGCTGGTCCTGTCCTAACATCAGAATCGCGAACGACATAAACCCTGCCACTCTTTAAGACAAAGCAGGGGTTTTTATTGTTTGCTAGATCTTGCTATATTAAAAGAAGAAATGTTGCATCCCAAGGTCATATATCCAGATACTGCACAATGAAAAAAACATATCATAGTTACCATAAAGCAAATATGTAAGCGGTCCTAGGTTTTCTATAGTCTCCTTTGCTCAATATTGGTGTTATGATTAAGGATATTCCTCCCACAGGCCCATAAGTTAAAGGCTTAGTTGCTAGCAAAAAGGCTTGTTGGAAGTGACTGGATCATGAGGGGTCTAAATTCATCAATGGATATCCATTGGTAACTCTACTGCTGAATGGAACAGGAAGGGGTCTGTTTGAAGCAAACGGGGTCATTATGGGTATGTCTCTGAAGAGTCTGTCTTGTGCCTGGTCCTTTGTGAGCATCTCTCTGCGTCTCTTCCGCCTCCTGCTCCCACCATGATGCTCCAGACTTGCCTCAAGTCTCCAGAAGGAATCATGAGCAATAGAATCTTCCCTCCTTTGAACTGCTTGTGTTGGGTGTTTTGCTATACTAACAAAGGCTGACTTAACACAGTAGGATTATGTTCTGTGGTGGAACGAAGCTTTACATTTCTATAACGTAAGAATTATTAAGACTCTACCTTAGGTACTATAACATAAACAGAGACTAAACAAACTGCTACATTCAGTTGTTTTTCAAGTACCCCTTTATTAAGAAATTGGTGGCACATTAACTTCCAATCAGGCTCAAACGCTATGTCTGACACTCCCTCTCCTCATCTCCAATGCTGTGGGAGCTGGAGATTGCAGAGAAAAACTGGAGGGCATTAAACAGCCAGTGGCAGAGCCCCTAACCCAAACCCAGGCCCGATTCCATCCGCTCTTGCCACAAAAAAACGACCAAAGGGTACTGTGGGAGATGGTGGGTGTACTCATTTGCTTTGCGATCATAAACTTTTTATGATCTAGATGCAGCCCTGCAACATGAGTCGTGGGCCTTCACTGTACACAATTCTAAATATTAAAGAATAAAAATAAAAGTCAGCAGGATCCCACAGTCTTACTCTAACGCCCATCCCAGGTTGGATCTGAACCCCCTCACTGTCCTTTCCTGTTCCTGTCCCACCACGACCGGCTCCTAACCCACGGTAAAACCAGATTCGGATTTCACAGTCACGGGGCTGGCTTTCCAGTCACACACTTCTAATTCTTGGAAACTGATGAATGGATTTTTAAAATCCGATTACATACTACAATATGCTCAAAACATCCTTCCTAATTGCTTTCTGGAGCTGAAGAGGATATATCAACATGCTCCCTAATCAACTTAGCAAATTAGTGCTTATGGAGTTTAATATTTTAAAAGCATAGCCCTCTATTCAAATTAATAAATGGCTCACGATCACATTTGGGGACAGAGGAGCACACTTTCTGTGTGATGACTCTATAATTACAAGCAGAGAATCTTCTCTGTGTTCGTCTGTTCAGAGACTTCCCATTAGAAATTTGGGCACAAACACCAAATTTTTATGACATAACTAAAGGGGGTTAAAAAAAACACACACAGAGCTCTGTTCCATAAACTGCTGAAATCTGGGGTGGGGAAAGAAGAGAGACGAAAACAAACAGTGCTTTGCTTTATCACTGCTTACGAAGATGGGTTTCACCGTGCTACATGTGGGCTATCAAAAGGCAAGTAGCAAGAAAATGGTTGCATTAAAAAGGTATGAATATATATATATATATATATATATATATATAATTTTACAATTCAATTACATTAAAGATGGACAATTAAAAAAACACATAGGAACCAAAGACTGAATGAATAAAAAAAAAAGAAAGAAAAAACCTATGACTAAAATAATTTTGAGACAATTATTACTGGTCTGGGTAAAACAAAAAATAACAAGGAACCCACTATGTGCTGCCTCTCTTTAAGAGCAGCTGCCTGAGGAGTAAACACTTGTGGAATGTCTAGCCTTGGGAAGACCAAAGCAAACCCTACTATACAGAGCAGATGTGGAGACTCCGGGACAGAGAGAGGACCTGCTCTAAGCAATGCTTGCCAGGACCAATCCCGCCTTCCTGAAGGCCTCAGCGATGAAATTTCAAGCTACAGTGAGCAGGGAGGGAGAAGAGCAAAAAAGGCTGGAGAAGCCCAATTCAGCACAGACCACAGCAGGACTAAAGCTGACAACCGGCAAAAGCAAAGTATTGAAGACAGAGAACTCCTCCAGGCTCTACACATCTTTGATGCCTGACAAAGAACATCTATGGTCATTTCCAGGCTCATATCCCCCAGCAAAGGCTACAGTGTTGGGGCAAAGTCAGGGTGTGCTCTGCTTGCTGGGGGAGAGGAAGGTGGGAGTACAGAATGAACTTCAGGGGCTGTTCTCCATTGTCTTTTGGGGCCAACTGGTAGGATTTGGTTTGGTGTTCTTCTGGCAAGAGGCTCCTGGGATAACATTCACTCATTCATTCATTCGGTGATAATACATTCTACGAATCAGTTCTTAGAATCCCATTTGCATAAAAAGGAAACTATCTAGCAGTTTCTCCTCTCACTATTGCCGGTAATTTATACATTCCCATAGAGATATTTACCTACTACTTTCAAGGTTGTTGTGACATTTGCAGATCCAAAAGTATTATTGGCATAACACATGAAGACACCAGAATCGTTAACTCTTGCCGAGCTGATAGTCAGTGTCTCCTGGCGTTCATAATCGAAGTCACCCCGATGCCAGCTACTCTGTTTCACCTGCGCTTTAGCCTGTGGTTTTCAGAAAGGGAGGGGGGAAAAAAATCAAAGATTACCATATAATTTATATTCAAGATCTTTCCTAAATTAAAAATAGCAGCAATTAACTTCTCCATATTAGCATTCATTATACACTACCGAGGAGGAATAATAAGGCGTCGTGACAAGCCTGTCACTAGAACCCTTCATATCACAGGATTATATTGAAAGATAGTCATTATGAATGATTGGGGAAAAATGAGAAAAATTCATTCCAAGTTCTCCGCCGTATTAGATTTTTAGTCGTCCCCACGGAAGAACTATTACAGAATACTGATGTTTCATAATGAGTCAGCACACTTACATCATAGGAACATTTCCGACCCCACCCCCTTGAAGGCAGGATCTCCACGTAGCAGCCCAAGATAGCCCAGGGTAGCTTCTAACTCCCTATGTAGCCAAGAATGACCTAGAACCTCTGCTTGAGTGCTGGCATCACTGGCCTACTCTGCATGAGTGCTGAGGTCACTGGTCTGTGCCACAGTTTCTGCTGTGCTATGCACTGAGCCCAGGGCTTCGCATGCATGCGTGTGAGGCAAGCAGGCTTCCGCTGAGCTCCATCTCGAGTCCCTCCTGTTACCTTTTCATGTGTGCATCTAGGGACCAAAAGGAATCATATAATCTCTGTATTAACATTTAGTTTCTTCCAAACTAAAATGAGAGTCACAATACGTACAGCTGACTTGGAGGTTCACCATAGTTAATCAACCCAGTCACATTTTCTGAACTACGGAAGGGACGGGGCACATGACACATACAAGACCACATCACAAAGCATTTGAGCAGGCTGACCAGAAAGGACCATGGCTCTGCCCTTGTGACACGGCTCTTGTGATCTGGCTGCAGACCACACATGGAGAGATGCTTGCATGGGAAGTACCACAGGCAGCCAGCGCTAGGCTGCATTTGCTGCCATGTGCACAATGTGTGTTGCTGTTATAATGGGAAAACAGCCACTAAAGAACACAAGCAAGGAGGAGCTGCTACTGGGCGGCCAGTGCTTGTAATGGGAACGATGCTGGAAAGGAGCAGGGCAGGACCCGCAGGTCCTCAGATCATCTGTGTCTAAGGGACAAGACAAAAGTTCCAGGATGTGACTGCCATTACACTTGAAACAACATGAATTTCCATCAGATGGATGTCACAGTGAAGACTATGACTGTTTAGGAAATGAGAGAAATTTTTTTTATTACTTAGCACAGGAGGGGGCAGGGCAGCTCACCTCTGTAGAGCCAACATTTAGCAGCTGAGACAGGCCAACGGCCACAGGTTCAAGGCCAGCTTGGGCTACAATAGTGAGAAGCTATCACAAACAAGCATCAATCTTACAACTGCAACCAAGTGAAAAGGCACGCACAATGGGGAAAAGACAAGAACAACAAGCATGGCAAACACACAAGCTACCTGGCCACTTGTGACCATGGAACACGCACTCCAAATGTGGTGGCTGTGAGTCCATATACAACATATGCCAGATTCTGGCTACTTAAAATTAGCTAAGATGCAGAATACATTAATAACCTTTATGGTAATTTTAGTAAGAAATGATGGTATTTCTTATTTCTGAGTCAAATATGACATTAAAACCACTTACTTTTGGAATGTGTCTACTGGAAATTTTTAAATAGGCTGTGAAGGTCACATTAAATTTCCATTATATATACAGCATTGCTAGCGACAAACACAGACAATGCCTTTCTTTTTCCTCATATAATTATAGTTTAAGAACTGTTATTCGGGAATGGAGACCGAAGGCCTTACACAGGCAAGGCAAGTGCTCTGCTACAGAGCTGACACCCAGCCCACGAGGTTTGGAATCCCATGACAATAAAATAAGCATACATAAAAGTTGATGGCCCGAGGATTAATAAAAGAGAATCTATGTGGCCATTAATTGGCTGTGAGCTCTTGATCAAGTCAAAGACACAGCTGGCCTCGGCCTCTGTTTCTAAAAGGTGTGAGCTAACAATAGTGCTTCAAACGCTGTTCCCATATAGACAGCTGCAGGTTCCAGGCCACCACTTCTAGGTGTTTATAAGTGGTAGGAAGCTGTCATTCTCCCACATAGGATCACTATCGAAACAAAATGAACCACCCTCATGATGGCCTTCAGGCCACTCTTTCTGAATTCTCTCCAAAGCCACAGTGACACCGAGCAGATGGGACACCACTCCCTTCTAGGGTCAGAGAGTCTCCAAAAGGGCGCTCAGCACAAACTCTGAGATGGTCAGGGCAGAACAAAACAGCTTGGTCAAAAATGGCGTCCTAGCAACACCTCAAGTCAAAGACCACAACTTAGCAAGTAAGAGCGAATAGAAACATTAGCATTTGGAAAGCACTAGGAAAGCCAGCCGAGATCAACAGCCACCACAGAAACCCCGAGACGTATGCTTGAGCAAATAATCACAGCCAATCTTAGGATTGCATTGTGGCTTCCATTTCTCATGAGTGAAACTTCCTCTAAATGGTCAGAAGCAAATATTATGGATTTTTTTAAATAATCTGATAGTGCTAACAGCATTCCAAATTATGTCAAAGGATCAATAAAAGATTCCTGGTGAACCCTGGCCAAGAGCCAAGAGCCCCATCTGCAAGTCACACATTGCATGCTGTCTGCACATGATTTGCTTTGCTTTAACCCTTGGAGGCACACACTAGGAGCTCCCCGAAGAGTTCCGAACACTAAAGAATTAGCTAGCATCGCCAGAGGGTTAATTGGGAATGGCATGAGGGCTCCTGGGAAACGTGGTTCAGAGCAAAACCACCTGGGGCAATTGAATTTCTCATCTTAACAGGGCTAATTTCCAAATAGACACACACACACAGCCTAAATTGTTCTCTCATCTGAAATCAAGAATTTATGGAAAGCCAATTAATACGGGATTGTGCTCTGTAAGGTTAGCCCAAAATCCATATAGAAGCTATGCTTTTTATTACATTAGATGGTCTAAAAACTAAACCTTGCTTCTCTGAGTCATTGGTTTAAAAGAATGAGTCTCCAGTACAAGCCATTCTCCAGGCCAGGGGCAGGCTTCATAGACGGAGCAAGATATCATCCATCAAGGTCTGGACAAATACCATCATTGTGCGGATCACCATGGTTATGCGTTTAGCACAAAACTCTTTATGCAGGCATGAAATTGTCAACGTTGAACATTGGCCAAGAGGAGGAGGAAGAGGAGGAATGAAATGTATTTTTTTTTTCATTTCACATTCCCATATGTGAATGGGCTAGGGAATCATCTACTAAAATTACTTAAAAATAGAAGGAAACTCAGTCAATGGGAATTTTAATGCAAAATGTTAGGAAAATTAAGTGCTTCAAAAGCCTTGTTGTTGAGTTATTTCAGAAAAAAAAAAAAGAAATCTTCGAATAAAACTGTCTAAAATTGTAATGACAATGCCCTTGCCTACCTAGCAGGCATAATGCCTCTGGGTTCAAGTCTCAGCACTGAAGGAAAGAGAGATGGGGGAGTGGAGTAGCTGGCTAGAATTTATTTAAGATAGACAGATTTGCCCAACACAGCGAATCTGACATGCAGTAGGCATTCAATATGAATTTGTCAACTGAATGAGAACATAAGCACGTCCAAACGTTTCACATTCACGACAACCGTTTTATTAATAGCAACTAAAACAAACAGAAAACCATTAGCAACTTAATCTCAGGTAACCAGGCTCAAAGGGGGAGTTCAAGCTGTGTGAAGGGAGAACCCCATCCCTGGCCACTCTTCAGGGCTCAGAAGAGCTTTGTGGGTCACACATCACACCATTTATTCTCCACAAGGAGAGAGGGTTGCTGGCAACGCTTGCTATCATCTGGCCTAAGCAGGTTATACAGTGATTCATTTGCTTTGTTTCTGAATTTCCTTACTAAAGTTTAAAAAAGGAAAGAAAGAAAAGTATTAAGCAATAACCTGAGGCTAGTGTCCACTCTTTTCTCAAAATATAGTGAGAATATGGCAGATAGTTCCCACTAATAATAAAAATGCATATGTTGTAATATATACAGACAAACAGCAAGCGAACACACTCTCGGCGAGTTGCTAACAGCCATGTGGTGTCCACCAGTAGAGTCATCTGTAAGCAGGTTTGTAGAGAACACAATCTCCCACAGAGAGACAGCCACGAGCCACTAGGAATAAGCAAAGCTCCTTACCTGCGTGTTCCCCTTTATCCACATGGAGCCCACGGAACTAGACACATCCTTTATGGTGCATGTCACCGTAAATTTGTCCCCTTCCCTAAGGAGATGGCTTGTTTCGGGCACAGATACAACTGGGATGGCTTTGATGGCTAGAATCAGAAAAAAATATCTGCCTGAAGTCAGTGGTTCCAACACAGCACGAATTTTAACCTCTCTTAGTTCAATGGTCATTTTTTTAAAAAGTATTTTAGTTATGTGTGTGTGTGTGTGTGTGTGTGTGTGTGTGTGTGTGTGTGTCTAAGTGTATGCCATTTGTGGGTGTCTGGGAAAGCCAAAAGGAGGGTGTAGGCACCCTGGAGCTGGAGATACAGACAGGTGTAAGCCACTCAAGATCAGTGTTGGGATCTGAATTGATCTTTTGGAGAAGTAGCAGACATTTTTAATTCCTGAGCAACCTCTCTAGGCCCAAACTTGTTTTTCCTTAACTGTGGATAGCTTGCATTATATCATTAAATAAAATACAAAACACAATACATGCTAACCTATGTGTATTACTTACACATCTAAATACACTACCAGTTATGTCATTTATCCCAGACGTATAGCCATTCATGCTGAGTGAAAAACACAGGAGTGTCCACTAGAAAATAGATACCGCTGGCTTTTCCAGCCCAGGTGGAAGATGCTAGCATAGTGAAGCAGGGTTAATCTCTACCTGGGACACACTGGGTGATTTCTTGAGGACCTCGCCTACAGCTAAGAATAGGCTCTTAGCCAGTGGGTACCTTTCCTGTGTATTATACAATAACACCTTGTTTATTTCTAAAAACTTCAGGTTTTAAATAATTAAAATTTCCTTCATTTTAATGAATACAGCTTTTCAAAAGTGGACTAAAAATTCTCCTCATCAGTTGAATCCCAAAGTGATGCTGATTTAAATAACTTCAAATATAAAGCCTTGCTCATCTTTCAGCTACTGAGAGGCTAGATGTGACCCCACAGTAGTTAAGGTCCACAGGCCGTGGGCACTTTCTTTCTCAGAGCTTGAATGGCTTGGGAATGCATTAGAACCAATCAGCTAAAGAAATAATAATCAAGTCACTTGTCCACAGCAAATTAAAGAATAAACCCCTTGTTGACTAATCTTCTCAAATCAAATCTTCCCATTGAGCAGGAACACTGGTGGCAAGGATGCTGTCACTTTGGGATGCCCTAAACCAGCAAGTTTAGCATCCATCTCAGCCAGCAGCAGCCATGGGCCTGTCGTCCTACAGGAATTCACAAATGGCATTACTTTGGAAGCTGGTAATCTTACTATCGCAGTTTGTGTCCTGATGCCCTAGGCTAAGAGGGTAGAGAGAAGCCGGCGCCGGGAACAGGGTCTCCATCTCCCACGAGCTGTAAGACACAACCATACCTGCTCTCACTTTCAGGATGAACTTGTCCGACAACACCCATTTGCCTCCCCGCTGGGCAGCACAGCGGAGACACAGCCGGTGGTAGGCGCGCTTCACGTTTTTGATGGTGATGCCAGCCTTGGGGTTTGGGACGAATGTCAGGTCCTTGGGGAGAGTTTTCCCATCACACTCCCTGAGGGAGTAACTGGACACCTGCGGGTCTGTCAGAGGGCAGCGGACCAGCGTGTCATTGTCTTCTTTCCCATACAAGGGAGGGTCAACCAGGAAAAGTACAGCGGGATCTGTGAAGCAGAACAAAAAGTCAGCATGCTGCGTGGCTGGATGTGGACACTGTTGATGTGGACACTGTTTCTGTTTGTTTTGACAGGGTCTTACTATACTGGCCTGAAACTCGAATGTAGACCAGGATGGCTTTGAATTCAAAAGAGATCCACCTGCCTCAGCTGGGATTAAAGGTGTACACCACCACATGAAAACATTTTTAAGACTTAAAGCATTACAAGCTTGCATAACACAATGGCTTTCCATTTTTCTAAATTTGAATTTACAAGTACGTGCATGCAGACTGAAGGCTCGAAGAGGATGTCAGATCTCCTAGAGCTGGAGTTATACGTGGTTGTGAGCTGCCCTGTATGGGTGCTGGGAACCAAACTGGGTCCCCAGTAAAAGCAGCGTGTGCCCCTCAAGGAGGTGCTTCCTCTCTCCAGCGTCCAACACACTGGCCTTTTGTGTGAGCACCAGGGATCTAACGCAGGCCCTCAAGCTTGTGTAGAGAGCACTCAATTGCACTAAGCAAGCATCCCAGCCCCCTGAAGCTGTCTTAAAATTATCCTCTCCACCTGGAAATCAAATGCTACAAACACACAAACGGAATCTGTTGCCACTGAAATACACGCGTTTATCGTTTAATTAAGGAAAAGAAAAAAAAATCAAACCTTCATGACCAGACTATGATCAGAAGCCACAGCTGGCTTTCTACCTAGACTTTCTCTGTCACCAGGGTGTAGTCTCCAACAGGTGCCATTCTCTTTCCTCACAGTGCCACAGGCCAGTTAAGGGTCTACGCGTGAAGAAACGGTGTGAGCTTTGCTCCAGCTAACTCGGCCGCTTCCTCAGACAGGCACTTGTCTATGCAGCTCATCGTCAGGCCTAATGGTCCCTTCACTACCGCCTGGAAATTACAGAACACCTTCTTCTCCATCCAATGTCACCGGCAGCTGGGGGTGGGCTTAACAATTCCGAGCCGAACCCTGAAGCTAAGCCGTGGCTTATCAGGCAAGCAGGTCTCCTCAGCTGCCCACTTAAGGAAGGACAACCGATAAAGCAGGCAGAGGCGCAGTCAATTTCATGGCAATCTTCCGAGGCAGCTTTATTAACCCCTGTTTGAGCATGCGAAGATTTTTATAATTCTGTCTCCCTAACAATCCCCTAAGGGAGACTGCTCATCTTATCTAAGGACCACAGTGAGAAATGGAGGTGCCAGGCTAGGCAGCACACCTCCCAGGCACAAAAAAGACATCTCCTATGTACACTCAGAACTGCAAGCGCGTTTTAAACGACAGGCCCGGTACCAATGCCCCCAGTGGCGGGACTGGGGCTTTCATTCCCTGCCTCTTAAACTGTCCTTAGCTTTGTTTTTAATGTCACCCAAAGGATGCAGCCCTTTGGGCTCTGACATCATAGCAAAAGCTCACGTATAGATTGATAGATTTGTCTAGGAAACAAGGTATGGGAATAGAAGCCTCATCCCTTCGTCTTTTGTTTTGAAGGGGTTGTGACTGTTGAAAAGAGCCAACTCCAAAATAACATATGACTGATAAGGGATGCTTAGCTGTCTGAGATGTTTCTCTGGAATTTACTTCCTGAAGAGTGGGCCAAGTCTTTTGAAGTGCTAATCTGTTTAGGACTTTGGAGGCCTTTGGTTTCCCTGAAGTGTTTTTACTAAGTGGGAATATTTAGTATCTCAAGGCATTAAAATGGAGTTTTCCCAAAGGGCTTAATTTTTTCTGAGGGTTGACTCCAAGAACCAGGACAAATGGGCTAACCAGATTGCAATCCAGTTATGGCCTTGGAGACCCCCAGCTAGGGCCGCACTCAAAGCCACTGCCAATCAAAAGATGAAGGAGGCCAGCAAAGGCAAACATTTATGTTAGGACTTCTAAGACCAGCCAGGAAAATCCTGTCTGTGGTTTGGTCACCTACCTGTCACCTAAGTAAGAACAGGGTACGAGACACGCTATGCCATGGCAACAGAGAAAGGCCAGCATTTACCTCTAACGAACACGTAAATAGAGCTGCTGAGGCCAGCACTGTTGATACACGTGTATTTGCCCGTGTGCGTGGCCTCGGCTGGTTCCTGAATCCACTCGTTGTGTTTATTCTCACTCATCTGATTGATGGTCTCGAAAGTCCATTTGACAAAGGCGGGATCGACACACATCAGCCTGACTGTGTCACCAGCTTCGACGATTAACTCCGGTTGCGCTGGCTGGATGGATGGTGGAGACAGCTCCCCTGGACTCACAGATGGCTGGGAAGTTCCTGCCAAGAAAAACAAGGACTGTGTTGAGTGTGAGCTGTCTTGGCAAAATAAAGCATTTCTTCTAATATTGAGTTCCATCTTCTGTGTATTCTACAATAAAAATAGCCCTGCTATTTGTGGCTGAAAAGGGAATTCTGTCTAAAGTTTAAATTCATCTATAAAGTTATTTTCTGCAGTCTTCAATTAGTCCTATGGGTCACATTTGGTATGCGAGCTGCCAAGCTGGACGCGCGCCTTTCTTCAGGTCAATCGCGCACAGGGCTTGCACTGATGAAGGTCTGGCCCTCATGGTGCTACAACACTTATGTTCACCCTAAAAACCACAGCAATGGAAACCAGAAACAACGATGATCCACTGTTCACCCTTCTGGGGGAGCATGGACATGACTTATTCCTCAGTGGGGTAGCCCCTGATAAGTTGCCCCAACTTAAGGAGATGAGCCACGAACATGGCTCACATTAAAGTCAGTGGGTCACACCAAAGGTAAAACAAGTAAGACTTTCTGTAAGGAGGAGGTGGCTAGGGATGAGGAGGTTGAGAGGAGAGGGAGGAGACAGGACAGCCGTAGGCAGTTATGATAAATATTATGTATAGCAGCAGGTATGATGAATACACATATGCATATATACACACATATAATGTGTGTATATAACCGTGAGAAAGTCAAAAATAAGAGTGTACACGACAGGAAGACATCCTTCTGTTTTTCTTCAAACTTCGGAATTCACCTATTTTCACACAATACTCCTTACATGACAATGCTCACAGAAATAAATATCTACCTAGCTCCAAATGTCAAGGTAAAAATGATGACCGCACCTTCCAGATTAGACCCTGAGACAGTTGACCACATTTGTTGGCTTCCAATCTGATCAACCAAATGCCCAGAAAGTCCACATCGGCACGGCGTACGGTTTTGACACACATTTCAGAGTTGAGGAAAAAACTCTCTCCTCCAGAAGCCAGGGTGGAAAGCGCTGTCAGGGAAACCTGACCATCAGAACTAAATGTGGAAGGATAGACCCCATCCCTAAGAGCTGCCCTCTGACCTCTAAAGGTACGTGAGTGTACACACACATGCAGTAATAACAAATAAAGATGTTTTAAAAGAACTCTCTTCAAGTACAAGAGTAAGTGAAATATAGCTGTAAGTTGAGAGTGAAGAAAAAGAGGAGGGCCGGACCTTAGCCCTACCAGATAAAGTGGAAGCCAAGACTTTAGGAGACTAGGCAGCGAGGGAAAAGGGCCTCCAGAAAGCCCATGTATGAGGTGCCCACAGTCCTTGTGGGGCATGATGGGTAAGGCTGAAGAGCCTGGAAGACCACCTAGAGTCCCCACACCTCGGTGCAAGCCTGGTCCAGCCTGCAGAATGGACAGGAATGGCTTCAGGAGGGAAGCCATAAAAACAAGGGTCCTACCAGACCAAAGCAGGTGGGAAAGCCATGCAAAGGCTGGTTTTGTGATACTGTTGCTAAATCACCAATGATGGAAGGAGGGGGAAGGGAGGGAAGGGAAGTACAGGAGAGAAGGGAGGCCAAGGCAAGACTGTGCTTTAGAAAGTGCCAGGAAAAAAAAAAAGTGGGTTTGAGGCAGATACCACGTGGTAAGAGCTCAGGCAAGAAACAAGTCCTCTAAGTCAGTGACAAAACACACCTGGGAGCTAGCCAGGCACACACCATTAATCCCAGCACTGGGGAGACAGGGATAGTCTCATGTCTGTAAATCTGAGGCCTGGTCTACACACTAGGACCCTGTCTCAAAAAACAAAAACAAAACAACAACAAAAATAAAGATACCGCGTGTGTATGCACATGCGCGCACGCACACACACACACACACACACACACACACACACACACACACAAAACCTAAGAGACTCCTGGAATTCAGGGGCACAATGGAGTGGAATTTCTGCCTGTTCCAGGGCAGGCAGCTTCAAGTATGGAGCTCTCCTTATGGCAAGAGACGGAGAAAAAAATAAATGTACAGGCAAAGACGGCTGCAAAGTACAGAACGCAGGGGAGTGCAGACAGAAGGCAGAGAGCCTGGAGAAGGGGACAGAAGGAAGGCGCTGGAGAGGAAGGCTCAAATTGTACTCTCTGGGCTTATGTATGCATCATCAATTTCAATCCCTGTCTAAATCCAGACCTACGGCTCAACTGTGGTCCCATTGTGCCACGCAAAGGGTCACCCCAGAGCAAAGACTCTGCCCGGGATAACAATGGCAGGGATTTTAGCCATCAGATGCCACTAAGCACCGGAAACCAGCGAGACGTTATAGGGGTGACAGAGCCTACCTGGGCCACCAGGCCTCAGAGCCCAATGGCGCAGCCTGCTTAAGGACATGGAACAGTGGGGACCATTTCCAGAGGCCTAGGGAGCATTCTAGAAGAAAAGTGGAGGTAGCAACAAATGGAGAGGCTACTGTTGGAGTTCCTTATATTCCAATTATGTAGCCTCCTGTGGAAAAGTGGGAGGGGAGGGGAGGGGAGGGGAGGGAGGGAGGGAGGGACGGAGGGAGGGACTAGTTCCAGTGAATGGAAAATGCATGCTTCGGACACTGACAGCAAATTTAATCCAAAAATTTAGTTGATGTCTTACATCGCTTCGTGGAATTTAAAAATAACTGCCACTAGGAGTCTTCAGGGTTTTATTTTCAAAAATGTAAGTTCAGCCTTCATAAACAATATAAAATAAAAATAGTTTTATTATGGATCAAGTGAAGGTGATGTTTATTGCCTTGTTTCCAAACTATCTTCAATGTTGTCATCACGGCCTCTCTAAAAATAATAATAATAAATAACAGTAACAGAGATTCAGGTTCAGAAAACTAGAGATTCACACTGAAGGAGCACCCCTCAGAAAGCTACTCCAGGATTATAGGGATGCTCGGGTAGGAGGGCTTGCCGAACAAGCCCAAGAGTCTGAGTCTGGATCTTCAGCACAACATAAAAAGCCAGGCATCAAAGAGTGTCCCTGTGAGTCCAGGCTGGCAGGCAAAGAGATCCCATGAGCTCACTCTCTGACAGCCCAGCCCAGACAGCAGCTTCAGGTCAGTGAGAGATCCTGTCTCTGGCATGTGGGTAACAAACAGCAAAGACGGCACCTGAGGTCCTCCTCCGACCTCTGTGCTCAGGGGTGTAGGTGCCCGTTATACACAAACACACACACACACACACACACACACACTCACACACATACACACACTCACTCACACGCGCACACTCACACACGCACACTCACACACACACGCACACACACTCACTCACATGCACACTCACACACACGCACACACTCACACACTCACACACGCACACACTCACACGCATTCACTCACACACACGCACACACTCACACACACACTCACTCACACGCACACACTCACACACGCACGCACACTCACACTCACACTCACTCACACACGCACACTCACACTCACACACGCACACACTCACACACGCACACACTCACTCACACACACTCACACGCACACACTCACTCACACACACACTCACACGCACACACTCACACACGCACGCACACTCACACTCACACACACACACTCACACTCACTCACACACGCACACTCACTCACACACACTCACACACACGCACACTCACACACACACTACTTCAGCTGAGCTGTGAAACCACTCTGAGATATACATTCTGAAATGTATACCTGCTGTTCAGCAAGCCTCCAACAATGTAACGATTTGGCCGTCTTTTGTCTATGCCGGGCTTTTTGTATCACCAGATGTGATACTTCCTTGATATTAGTGAGAGTTATTTTCTTGTCCCTGAGTGTCTTAATGAACCAAAAGAAAATGACATATGATGAGCCTCACCACCCTAGGGACCAGCGGGGGGGGGGGGGGGGGGGGGGGGGAGACGGACATAGACAAACAGCAAAGAGAACACCAGTGCCAAAGAAATGTCAGCGTAGCCTCTGCTCGCAGCCTCTTCACGCACACGCAAGTCTTCCCTGTGAGCTGGGTAAAAGCTGTCCAAAGTCAAGGCAGCTAAAGTCAGGAGCTCGAGCACACTGGATGGCAACACCCGGAACGCCATTCAGGAGAGCCAAAAGGCAGAAAGAACACAACTGTCTGCCAAAAGACAAAACGACATGTGGGCTGCTTGTGCGATGAAATATTAGTAAGCTGTAAAAAAGGATAAAGCGTCCGCTCAGGCTACAGCATGGGAGGGCACAGATGGATGCAGGGAGGACTTCCTTACACGAAGCACACAGAGCAGGGCCATTCAGAGACAGAAAGTAGCACGGAGGTCGCTAGGGGCTAGAGATGGGGGAGAAAGAAGAGGCCGTTTAACAGATGGCAGCTCTGCCGCCCTGTCTGGGAGGGTGGAGAGGCCTGGAATGAGAAGGAAAAGTGGCTGACCCACACCGCGTACTCGCTCTCCTCAGAGCTGAACCAGATAATTTAAGGTAGCACTCTATGTCACGTATGTCGGACCTGAAATTAAGCCAGGCAGTGGGGGAGCACACCTTTAGTCCCAGCCCTTGGGAAGCAGAGGTGGGCGGATCTCTGAGTTTGAGGGTAGCCTGGTCTACACTCTGTTTCAGGACAGCCAGGGCTACACAGAAAAACCCTGTCTCGCAAAACAAGCCAACAAAGACGCAAAATTAAAATAAAACAAAACAAGCAAAAACTCTCAACAAGGACCATCTTTCCTAAATAACACTCCCAGCCCCGACTGAGCTGCTGAGGCCCCCAGTGTGGCTTGAATAGAACAAAAGCAAAACACATTGAACCCCTCCTTGGCCGCTGTTCCACGCAGGTATGTTCACGCTGTCCCTTCCAAGAAGCAGCCAATGTATATCAGAGGTTTTTTTCACTCGGAGTTGGAGACCCAGGAGCTCATGCTGACCCCATAACAGGCTGGAGCCCAAAACATGTGTGCCCCAGGGTAGCCAACAGCCACTCCCACTGCCCGAGTCACCGGTCTTTATTCCCAAGCCTGCTCAGGATGTGCACACTA